CACCGCAGGTCGTTTGGGGATGCGCTACCCCTAAACCAGGCGACTGTGCTGCTGGGGAGAGCTGCAGGCTGGCAGCGGGGTCAGGTGGATGTCTTTCCTTCTTGGGTGGGAAAGTTGGAAAAACGTGAGGTGGATACTCACACGTTTATACATAGCTCATATTGCCTATTCCCATCCCCGGGACCGGGCTCTCGGAGGTGTCGGATGGGAGCGTTTGCTTCGTGCGAGAGCGGGGCTGGCTGCAAACAGCCTCGGGGTGAAGAGAAAAGAGAGCTTTAAGTTAAAAACAGCTCTGGTTTTTAGGAGTCCACAGGCCACTTGCTGCTGGTTTGATCAGTGACCCAGAGCTCTCCAGAGCTGTAAACATCACGTCTGCCCCAAAGCGTCTCCCTCCCCTCCCCTTGCAAATTCCTCTTGCAAACGTAACCTGTGCTGCACTGAGTGGAAAAAGGCGTTATTACCCCCACAAAGAACGGGGGTGCGATTGCAGGCCAAGCTCGCAGCTCTTGGGGTGGGGATGGGGTGGTTAGATCGTTTCTATTCCTCCTTGAGGGGGTAGAAAACCCCAAACTGTGATTTTTCAAAGCAGGGAGCAAAGCAGAGGATGATGTGGGCTGGTCAGGGTTAGCGGGAGGGTTTTAGAGCCTCTGAGATGTTTTATACCTGACTCTTGTGTTGTTCAGCAATTCACGGGAGAGAGATAAAGGGTCTGAAATATCTAAATGGACACTAAAAGGCACGGGCAGGATTAAGGGTTGAAGGTTTCCAGTGTGCTCGTGGAGGGGTGGGAAGCAAAGAGCTTCCAAAGATTAAAAGATACAGAAATACCCTGAAAGAAACACTCCTGGATGCTCGTGGGAGCGCTGCCTTCGAGGGACACATCAAACCCAAATCTGAGCGGGCATTAAAGAAAAACAGCCCGTGGGGATGAAATCCTGCCTCCCTTGTCAGTCGGAGTTTTGTCTCGGACTTCAAGGGAGCCGGGAACTCGCCCCTAGAGGTTATTAAAATCCTTTGTAATAACAGCAATTCTCTAGTAACCCTTTACACCAGGCGCCGGGGTTACGGCAGCGAAAGAGCAGCCTGCATAGGAAAATACACTGCAGATGGCAGGGAAAACGCCCAGAAATATTCCTTCCCCGCGACCCAATTGCTCCCCAAATGGGGATACTGAGGCAGAAAGCTGCTGCTGGGACAAATCCAGAGCTGGGGGCCAGGTGGGATGTGTTTTTCCCAGGGTAAGGGGTTCCCCGAAGCGATGCCGATGGCTTCAGCCCTTCCTGGTCCCATCCCAAACCCCTCTGAGGGGGCGGCGTGGGGTGGTCAGGGCTTGGGGATTGCCAGCGTGCCATGTGACGGGCTGTGAGACTCCAGAGCTGCAATGTGGCAGGCAGGTTTTTCTGTTTAGTTTATTATTGGCTTTCTCACGGGGTGGGAAACCACCGCAAAGACCACAAAGAGCAGCCCGGAGCGGTGTCTGAAGTGAGCAACTGAAGGGAAACCCATCTACTGCTATTAATACCGCTGCTAAAATAAGCAAGCCGTGCCCTGGAGACAGAGAGGACCCCTCTAAGAATTTAAATCCTGCACCTGGTTTGTTTATTTGTTTGGACTGAAGAGGGGAAAAAGAACAAGAAAAAAGGGGGAGCGGTGTGTCCTTAAGAGCTTTTGTCTCTTCCTGGCTGCTCCCCAGAGACACAAATGTGATTTTTATGTTTACGAAGTTGCAGCCCTTTCCGTGAGCTCCAGGTGCCCGAGGACTTGGAAGAAGTGAGAGGCAGAGTTAATGAGGTGAGAAGGAAAGCAGAAGGGAGAGAGCAAAACACATTTGTTGTAACAGATCAGACTGAAACATCTGCAGGGCATGGGCACCTGCATGAAGTTGGGAAACGCAGTTTTTATAATTTGTCTTCCTTGCAGAAAAAGATGGGGAGGAAAAAAAAAAAGAAATCTGGAGAGAAGGAAGGGAGAGATGAATAGCTGGAGATTTGGGCTCATCTAAAGATTTATCATTTTTTATTTTTCCTCTTTCTTCCCGAGCAGTTACACAAACCTTTTTTTGGGGGTGGGGGAACCTGAAGCAGTGAATGAAGTCTTGCCATGTGCAGGGTTAAATGGAAACACACAATCAGACCGTAACTCAGGGTGTAATTCAAGCCATACGGTTTGTCTGTCTGTTGACTTGAAAGGTTGTATCAAGGCTTGGCGAGGGAGGGGACTGAGAGGGGATAATCCAAACTTTTTCGTGATTCATAAACCACTCCTTTGCAATTTGGATAATAGATCTCTCTCTCGCGACGACTCGCTAAACTTCCGAGTTAACTGTAGCTCGTGCTCTTTCTCTCTCTCCTTTCAGGTTGTTCATCTCCAAGGAGGAGCAACACCCAAGCTGCAGGGAAATACGTCGTGCAGAAAAATTAGGAAAACTCCTTTCTTTTTTTTTTCTTCTTTGGAGAAGCTGATTTCCTTTGGCAAGTGGGGACGGTGGAGAAAATGAAGCCGAGTCCGCGATTTTTCTTAGCTGGTTTTCTGTCTTTGATTCTGCAGACGGGGCTTTGCTATGGGATAAAATGGATGTAAGTACCTGGCTATCTCTCTGCATTTTTAAAGTCTTTGTAGGCATTGCTGGTCTCTTACAACGTTTTTGCAACCACTATTTGTGGCACACTGTAAAGCCATTTAAAGAGCAGCAAGCGCTGCATTTCTCCGGGCATTCATTGATTTCAAGTGTGTGTACGAGGGGCTTGTGCTAACAATATGTCTCCATCTTCTTTCCAAAATGTGCATGGTTTAAGCTCGGGGCTTTTTTTTTCCTGCTCCTCATTGGTACTAAAGGAAAGGCACACACTTGAATGCTCACATAAGCCACTTAATGAAGTTTCTAGCGTTAGCTCCTTCCACGCTGGGAAACTCTCCCACTGGGACCGCCGGTCGTGCTGAGTAGGAGCTGAGAGCAGTAGGGATGGCAGCTAAGACAATGCAGCCAATCTCCAACCACAGGGGATGCTTGACAGATAACATGTTTTTTTGGTGGACCTTTTAACCTTTGGGTTTCATGAAGGGCGTTAAAAATGAGGCAGGGGGGCAGGGGGAGACGGTGAAGAAATACCAGGGAGTGTGGTCAAGTCTGGATCGAGTTTCCTCGGAGGTAATGTCACTGCAAACAAAGTGAAAACATCGCTATCTCATTTCTTTGCTTAAGCAAGCAATCAATTAGTTGCTTACTGCAAAACAAACAAACAAGCCCCTCCAACACCCATCTGGTTTCACGTCCTTGATGAGTGATCTGTCTTTTCTACTCGGATTTGAAGCTGTGCGCAAAATAAATAAGGGGATGTGGGCTAGCCTCAAATGAGCATCTTCCATAAAAGAGAAGGCACAGTAAAATGCCGTGCCAGGAAGAGTCTGTTGTGTAGGGTTTAGTGCACCAAGGTGAGGATCTTGGGGTTAGGTGGAGAAATTGAGACAAGAGGTTCCTGTTTTGTTCCTCCTTCTCTGCTATGTCTAATTCCCATTCCACTGTCCCAGTCACGGTCACTCGAGGCTCTCCCTATGCCACCTGTTATAAATACTGTCTTAAATTTGGACATTTTCAAGTTAGAGGTCTCGTTTTGAGCCGGTGTTTTCACTGCCCTGCGTGCAGTCATGGGAAAGACTCCCCACTTCCAGATGGGGATTCACCCTCTCCAAAGAGAGACATCTAACACAAATGTCAAGAGACGGTCTCTGGAGATGTCGTGGATTGCAGGGAGCTGGTTGAGACCACACATCCACCTTCTATATGTATAAAGGGAGGCAGGGTGAATCCCTCCGTAGGGCGTTTAAATGCACGTGGCCGGGTGGGAGGAACCGTCACCTACTTTAGGGCATCTGTCATTTGCTGTCTCCATACTCTGAGGACCCCTTGGAAGCAGAGGAGGGTCAGGATCTGATTTGCTCTTCACTGTCTTGGCTTTACACCTTGTAGCAGTCACCACCGCTAAATTACACAGCCCAACTATTTCTTTCTGCCAGCTTCCTCGAGTATTTAGGTGCTCAGCTCTGCGTATGTCCCGCACCCTGCACAGGGCAGGCATCTCCTCTCTGCAGGACCTTTAGCAACATGCTGGCAGAGCCTGGACTCATTTGCAGCCTTTATTTCTGTGCAGCACAGAAATAAAACTGTTTTATGGCACCCTGATTCATCGGGGCATTTATGTACAGACCCATAACTGAATGGAGGGGCTGGCTTATACGCTTGGCATTAGGGTCCTGCTTAAGCAAGGTGCTAAATCCCGAGCGAAGGGCGTGGGTAAGGGGCGAGATGAGCTTCAGGTGGAACCTGATAGCACAGGGACAAGCTGTAGACACACACAAAAAAAGGCTGGAAGGCAGGGCGAGGTCCCTAACAGCTCTGATGGCAAAAGCAGCCTTGCAGTCGGTGAGTGGTTAAGCTGCGAGCGCTGCTTTTGGGGATGGGGTGGGGGGAGAAGCAGTTGGAGCAAAGATGCTGCAGTCGCCGTTCCTCCCCTTCCCAGCAGACATATCCCCCCTCTCGCAAAGCCAGTGGGGAAGATGAAAGCTGGGATAAAAGTGGCATTTGAAGCATGAACTGCATCCAGATGCGCCGGCGGGGCTCCCCTCACACCTGCTTAAAACCTGCGCTCCCGGTCCCGGAGCCCTTCACAGCCGGGATGCTGCCAGCTGGGATTTCACAAAATTATGTGGGGTGGTTTTTTGTTTGTTTGTTTGTTTTCATTTGCTGTTTCTCCTCCCTTCCTCGCCCTTGTTTTTCTATGGGAACACGGGCCAATTTTCTCCCCCTCCCCATCGTTTTCCTTTCCCTGCTGCAGCGGTGCTGCCATCCCTGGGGCTGGGGGACCGTCCTCGGAAACCCCATGGGTAAACGCTCGCTGAACAGAGACCGATGCCACCGAGTAACACCTCGGAGCTGCAACCCCAGCCCCGGACTTGGGTGCTCGTTGTTTTCCTCCCAAATCCCAAACACAGCCTCACGCTGGCTTCTGTGAAGAAAATTAACTCCATCCCAGCTGAAACCAGGACAGTGCTGTACAACCAAACCCTGCCCCTTCCCTCTCGTGCTCGTGGATGGAGCCGGGGGGGGGGGGGGGTGGAG